TCATTTCTCTCCCTCATCTGTTTCAATGCCTTATACGTCATTTATCCCATCTTTCTCAGTCTCCCCCAACCCCAATGTCAGTCCTGTGTTGCAACAGTGGCGCTATACAATACAACCTTTGATTTCTTGAGTGATGCTACCGTGCACACTGATTGTGGATGCAAGAGAATGAATTAATTAGCAACTTCAGTGACTGAATATTGTCGAATTGGGAACAACTGATAGCTCCAGTGGGTTCTCAGAGGCAGTAAATTGCATGGGAGGCTACTGCCCATTCTTCTCCTTCAGAGCGGCTGAATAGATTCAAAGCACATGCATTCAGGTTAGCAGTGTAACTCCTTACCTCTGAGACAAGACTGTGAAAACCTGAGGGGTCTGCGGCCCATGTAGGGAAGAGAAAGGTCAACCAGCCTGACTCCATCTTGGAAGCGGAATGCCTTCAGGAGAACATGATATTTTACCGGAGGCATCATAGGCAAAGCTATCAACTCCAGGAAGATGTACCCAAAAAGCTTATTGGTTAAGAGCAGGGAACTGTTCTCCTCCCTAAGGAATCTGGCCAATTCCCTGGGGCAGAGCACATATAGAGAAGAAGGGAGCTTTCTTTACCTCGGGAACCTGGCCAGTTCTCAAGAGAAACGTTCCATCTTCTGTACGGCTCCCATTGTGCACTCACAGAACAGACAGATAAGGCTCTTCACATTACCCTCTAAAGCACGACCAATGTGTCTCGCAGGAAGTGCAGCCAGGCTGATCCTTAGAGCCAAAGGTGGTGAACCTTTGTCTCATAGACTGTGGGCATGTGTCAAGAGGGGCCAGTCCTTGGAAAAAGATAGCATGCGTGGCAAGGTGGAGAGTCAGTGAGAGAGAGGTTGACTTTCAACAAGATGGACTGACAGATTGACTGTAACAACAGGTTCAAGTGTGTCAGAGATGATGAGAGCACAGGATAGGCAGGGTTCAGCTCTGTTCACAGGACCACAGTGAATCACAGTCGATCTGACAGCACCTTTACAACATAAAGCACAAGAGGTTCCTTTAGAGGTTCCCTTGAGCCCCACCCACCAAGTGGATGCAGTCTGGGGTTCTCCCACGGACACTCTGGTTCATTATTTCAAGGACTTCCCAGCACCTGGACCAGATGAGGTGTTTTCTTGGTTGGTGACGCTCTATAAAATTTTCTGAGCTTGTCACTTTATCTCAATTTATCTTTTTGTCTAAATATTCATAATTAATTGTAGAAATAGTTTGAAAAAAAGACATAATTTGTAGAAACTTTGTAAAGTTACTCTATATTCCTCTGAAACAGTGCTTCCCTTTCAGCATTTGTGGTGCCTCGCCAATTTCTGATTGTTGTGTCTGACTTTCTGGGTATGCACCACCCCCGCCAATGGGACTGGACAGCTTGCTAATAATGTCAACAGGGGAAACGACACCCTTCAGGTGGGACCGTGCAAGGAATATGTGCAGAATGCCAAAGCGGGGATTGTTCCGTTTTATCCTTCCGTAAGAATTAAACAACATGGTAAAGGCTGCAAAAGCAGATCTTGCTAGCAACAAGAAAGAAGATCCAGAAAGTGTAAGGTATCCTTTGGACCAGAGATCTGTGTGAACCAGAGATGGAGAGTTTTAACACTGGAGGTGTAGTTGTAACCAAGTTTCTCCTTGGAGGCAAGGACTTTGAAGCTCTGTCTCACATTCTTTGGGAATGTGGCCAGGAGGGATCAGTCCTTGGAGAAGGAATCATGCTTGGAAGGGTGGAAGGACAGCGCAGGCAAGGAAGGCTCTGGATGAGATGGGTTGTCATGGTAACTGGGATTATGGAATTAGGTGTGTGGGAGTCAGTGAGACTGGCACAGGATAGGGCTGTGTTCAGAGCTACTGTACACAGGGTCATTATGAGTTGCAGGCAACTCCATGGCACATAACAACAACAACAACACTGGAGAGGCAATGTAAGGCCAAGAGATGGTGAGATAGCACGAAACGAGACAGAGGCAGCAGAGGCGGCAGAGGCTGGCCCACACAGCAAGAAAGCTGAGGGCGCCCCAGTGGAAGAGTGCCTTGGGGAGTTTGTCAAGAAGCTAGTTTTGTTAACCCAGACTAAGAGGTGTGTGTCTTCAGGTCTAGGTTCAATGCCAGAATATGTTGCTGGGAACATAATTGGCAAAGAGCTAAAAACTGTAACACTTGACCAAGCAGGGCAGAGGCTGAGGGCTGGGAGAGACAGACTTGCCTTTTGGTGTGGCTGAAAAGAGGCCGTCTGATCTCAAGAACTGCATCCTAAGTGTTCCTGATCCTGTATTGTAAACTCATTCTTCCCTAATCAACCCCACACTTGTAAGCACTGTGAGTTCCGTGTGGCCATGGCAACGAATTCTTAGACCAAGTAAAGAAGTGGTAAGAGCCAGGGAGGGATGGTTGGTGTTAGAATTCTTGGAAAAGATTTAGAAGATAGAGCATGGGAGCATGACTGACCTCATGGGAATGGGCTATGACGCTCTTGGTAGGGATTCTTCCCTCTTGTGAAGTTTGAAATCAGTTGCCGTTGCCCCCACTCATGCCATTTTCCCAGGCCTCTCATCCATGATAGAGATGGGAACTTGGAGGTGAAGGAAAAGGAATATATGAAAACTTTTTTAGAGTCTGTGAACCCTACCCACAAAGTGTGGGCTTACTTTGAGCTCAGTGACAAAGGTTTAGTATTCAAAGGGCCAGATGTACTCACCTGAGAAATCTAGCATCCAGGCTGTGATTGGGCAGATGCTCCCCTGGCAGGGAAGAAGGGTGCAGGGCTGTACTGAGGCCAGTCTGCGCCCTAGGGTATCAAAACCAAGGGTACCCAAGACAGGAATTAGGACTCCCACAGAGAAAATCTGGGTCTAGTGAAGGGGCCCAGCGAAAGAGGATGAGGAAGATGAGTGGTAATGAGTTGCATGGTCAACACAAAGGGACATGGTTCGAATTCACCCAGCTCAAAGGGACATGGTTCGAATCCACCCAGCTGCTGCTCAGGAAAAAGATGGACAATCTCCTCCTGTGTGATTTACTGCCTCTGAAAACCTGCCGGCGGGTCAGTTCAGACTTGACGGTACATACAACACTCCAGTGGGATCTTACAAAGAAACCTCAAAAAAAAAAAAGAAAGAAACCTCCAAAGGGTTCATAGAAGTGGGAAGAATGGGTTTTCTTTACTGTTTTAATGAAACATTTATCAGAGTAGAGTGTGCCTTGAATCAATCTCTTGAAGCTGAAATGAGTCATTAGAGCGAGTGAAGAAGCAAGCAGCGGCGAGGCACAGAGATGCTATGTTACCGAGAAGCTGATGAGCAGAAGTTGAGAAGATCCAAGGACCTTCTCCCGAAGGGGACAGAGAAAGCCTGCTCCTAGAGCCAGCGCCCTCTGTTTGGACTCTGACCTCTGAAATCTGTGAGCCTGTTATCAGGAGAGATGAGTCCCAGGGAACGGACATCACACTTGGAAAAGTAGCGGGTCAGTGAAAGAGAGGAAGACCCTCTGTAAGAAGAACCGACAGAAAGAGGAGGGACACCTGCTATATGTTCTCTCGGTCCTTTAGGAAACATGGGATTGTGCCTTTGGCCACTTATATGTGAATCTACAAGAAAGGAGATATTGTAGACATCAAGGGAATGGGCACGGTTCAAAACTGAATGCCTCACAAGTGTTACCATGGCAAAACCGGAAGAGTGTCTGTACAATGTTACCCAGCATGCTGTTGGCATCATTGTAAACAAACAAGTTGAGGGTAAAATTCTTGCCAAGAGAATGAACGTGCACATGGAGCATACTAAGCACTCTAAAAGCAGAGACAGCTTCCCGAAATGAGTGAAGGAAAATGATCAGGAAGAGAAGGAAGCCAAGGAGAAAGGCACTTGGGTCCAGCTGAAAGGCCAGCCCGCTCCCCTCTGGAGAGGCGCACTTTGTGAGAACAAATGGAAAGGAGCCTGAGCTGCTAGAACCTATCCCCTAGGAATCCATGGTGAAATAAAGGTGTCTATCTGGTAAAAAAAAGTAAAAATTAAAAAAAAACAAAACCAGATGAACCGACACAGTAACGCAATACTGGTCTTCATTCAGCATTGATGAATGGCAGAGATGCGGAGAGTGGCTCAGGAGAGGGCAGGGTCTGTTTGGTGGTGTTTAGGATCACAATCAGTTGGCACCAACTTGATGGCACCTACCATGCAACTCGGAAAAGACATTTCTGCCATTCACGCCGCCCATTCGATGGTGATAATCCTGTCACGGCAGCCCCGAAGAATCAAGGCAGATCATGGGAGCGTCTTAACCCCTCATTTCACAACAGAGTGCTTGCGAGGAGGATGTAGCAAACACGCTGACCCTTGTTTGGTGCCAAGCTCTCTCCATTAATCACTTTATCTTTACAAATGTGCAAATGAGTTCATGTTTAGTCTATTACTGGGCCTAAGTTTAGCTCACCAAAGAAACCTCTGCTCACCTCATCTGGCCTTGGAAATATAGAGGAGGGGGTCACAAGGGCAAGTCCTCTGGAAACTTTTCTCCCATCATGTTGGGGACCCCATGTCCAAGTTCAACTTCTGCTCACAGTTATCTCTCCACCGTAACTTCCCTGTCCACCTAAATCTTGCTCACCCTTCAAAGTTTACTCCCCCATCTGGTGATCTTCCTTCCCACTCTGTCCAAGGGTCCTATTACTCTTAGCAAGCAGATGCCTTTATTACAGGAGAAGGGACCAGGCAGAGAAAGGAGGGCTTGCTTCTCCACAGTTGCACAAGAGTGAAGTCTCTCTGGGAGGAGAATCTAGCACCTGGCTTCCCAAGTCAAGACAGCAACTTGGAAGGAGGATAGATTATACCTGAGCTGCTTTGCTTGGAATAGGGGACACGCCAGATCTGAGTAATGCACCCAACTCTCTGCAGGTGTGGTGAAAGCGAGCAAGCTTTTATTCTGGGGGCGGTATCCATGCACTGGGTAGGAGAGAGAAGGCCAGGCCGGGGCTAAGAGAAGATGAGGTGAGAAGAGGCAGGAACACCGTAGTTTTCCTTGTGCTCCTCAAACAGTTCCTCCAGAGCCTTCATGTAGAGCATATGGTAATAGTCAACTTGTTCCACAGTTGGGGAGCAACACTGGGGCACGTGGATAGGGCGGCCCACTGCAGGACGAGGGAGACAGAGGGTAAGGGACAGGCCTCTGTCATTCAAACGGCCTCTGGCAGCCTGGCTCCCCCCGCCAGCCCCCTAGACTCACCCACACTGGTGATGGGCACAGCATAGGGCAGCAGCCCCCAGGAGTTAGGCGAGAAGAACCCTCGGCCTGAGAAGATGCAAGGAGAAAAGTTCAACAGCTTCTTGAAGGCCACCTGTGCCAGGTACTGCCACGAGTCAGTAGCAAAAGTCTTGCAATGGAAGACATCATTCTCCCCAAAGGAGTAGACAGGTACCAGGGAGGCCCTGGGAAAGGGGACAAGAGAGAAAGGTGGGTGGTCAGGCTAACGGAGCCTCAAGATGGACTCACAGGCTGTGTGACCCTCAGTCCTCGCCTCCAACTGCCTCAGGGCCTTTAGAGCTAATCAAAGCTACAGATTATCCGAGAGGCTGGGCTTTATGAGGAGAAGTGTGGCATCAGGATTGGTGGAAGATCTATTAACAATCTGCGTTATGCAGATGACACAACCCTGCTTGCTGAAACTGAGGAGGACCTGAAGCGCTTGCTGCAGAGGATCTAGGACTGCAGCCTTCAGTATGGATTGAGGCTCAATATCAAGAAGACAAAGATTCTCACCACTGGACCAACTGGCAGCATCAGGATGGATGGTGAAGAGATTGAGATTGTTAACAACTTTAGTCTGCTTGGCTCCACATTGGCACCAGTAGCCAGGAAATTAAAAGACGTATCTATCTCCAGGGTACTGAAGAGCAACGGTGTCACTCTGGAGACTAAGGTGCATTTGATACAGGCTATGGTCTTTGCAATCACTTGTTATGCATCAGAGAGTTGGACAGTAACTAGGGAGGATAGAAGGAGAATTGATGCCTTTGAGCTGTGGTGCTGGAGAAGAGTATTGAATATACAATGGACTGCCAAGAAAACAAACAGATTCATCCTGGAGAGGGTTAACCCTGGCTGCTCCTTGGAGGCAAGGATTCTGAGGCTCCATCTAACATACTTTGGACATGTTGTAAGGAGGGACCAGTCCTTGGAAAGGGACATTATGCTTGGTAGGGAGAAGGAACAGCGCAGGAGGGGAAGACCCTCTATGAGGTGGATTGATTCAGTGACTGGGGTAATTGGGATGGATGTGCCAGAGGCGGTATGATTGGCACAGGACAGAGCAGGGTTTAGGGCTGTTGTACACAGGGTCGCTATGAGTCGCCAGCCACTCGATGGCGCATAACAACAACAACAGCCAGAGCTGGCTGAGGAGGGCTCCAGGCACCGAGGTGCAGTCGGCTTTGCTGGGAGCACTCACCCGTGGGAAAGCGCCAGACGTACGAAGCCTTTGCGGTTCTTGAGGGTCAGCTTGTGCTCTCCGGGCTTCACATACAGGCACTCCTGGGCACCACCAACCGTGATTAAGACGGCCTGGCCCTTCTTCTGCTGGTTCAGGATAAAGTCAATGCTGCTGCGACTGACAGGGCATATTCCTGCAGGGGCAGGAAGGAAAGGCACAGTCACCACCAGCTCCCTGGCTGCTGAGCCCCCTGGCTCTCGCTGGCTAGGAGAGGTGAGCCCCACATCCACTGGCTTCCACCCTCATCCCACGCAGAAGTCAGCATTCATGCGCGCTGGCCCAGATAAACACTGACATGCACTGAAAGCCAAGGCTCAGGCTCCAACCCTGAGGGAGAGGTGAGGGTGGTCCTCTGACCAGCGAGAAGCTCACCCAAGAACATGATGTATTCACGGTAGAAGGCCATCCGAAAGAGCCCTGCCAGCACCAACATGGAGATCCGAAGCCCAGGGAAGCACTGGGAGATGCCAGTGCTCTCAGTGGCAAAGTTGCAGTAGGACCCGAAGCACATGATTCCATGGGGGTGTGACCCCAAGATGTAGTTCCTGTCAGGGGGCAGCTCTGCCGTTTTCACCAGCTTGGGAGTGAGGGTTGGGCATGGGGTGGGGAAGAAAGGCTCATCAGGCGGTGGACTTCAGAGCTGAGAGAGTCCTGGGAGGGGATGGCGGGAAGGGGAACCCACACTGAACCTCCCTGCAACCCCACCCGATAGCCTGCACGGAGGCAGCCCAGGCGCTGGCTCCAGAATAAGGGGTGAGGGGGCGCCCTGTCACCTTGATAGGAAAATAATCCCGTAGGTGTTTCCAAATTCCAATGTTCCTGAACCACTCAGAACGTCTTCCACCTGCAACAAGAGTTTCAGATGGGCGAGCCCCGGAAGACACCCTCCGTTCTCCCCGGGGCCCCTGTCCCACACTCACCTCGGGTGGGCGTGTCCCAGTCTGTGTAGAGCCAGATGAAGTAGAGGACAGACAGTGGCCAGAGGCAGGTGAAGAGAAGATAGATGAGGAGAATGGAGGAGAACATGCCTGACAGGAGAAAAAGAAGTCACTTTTTGTAAAGCTCAGTCACTGCGTCTGACTTTCCTGGATTGAATTGGTAAACTGGGTCGCTCTCCTTTGCTTTGCCCCCAGGAGCTTAGGCTGGGGTGGGGGACGCATCGCTCTCCCTCCAGCTGGGGGGGGGCGCATCATTCCCCCTCCAGCCCGAGCCCCCCACTTCTTTCCCCTCCTCTCAGCGAGAGGGCGCATCATTCCCCCTCCAGCCGAGCTCCCTACTCCTCCCCGGTCCTCTCACCCAGAAAGAGGAAAATGCACACTTGGTAGAAGGCGGCCAAGGCCTCTAACCACCACTTCTTCTGAGTCTTTGGGGTTGGTGAAGGCAGAGGGGCCGCAGAATCCTCCATTCCAGCAGCTCCGCTTGGCTGGCGGGGTTCCAGGCCCCAGAGGGCGGACAGCCAGGAGTTCGAAGCCTGTGTGGGACAGTTTTCTCCGCTGGGGATTTGGCGGGGGTCTCAGCTAGGCTTCTGAGAGCGCAGGTGGGCGGGTGAGCGGCATGGAGGTCCAGGATCCGTGCAGCCGTCCTGCTGTCGTCACGGTCTCCTTGCTGGACTGATCTTTGAACGTCCTATATCAGTGATTCTCAGTTGCAGCCACTGGGCGGGGCTGGGGGATGAGGCCTGTGCTAGAAGGGGCGGCCCGGGAGTGCTAGAGGATTCGCGGGCGGAGGTGGCGAGGCTGGCCACCGTGCGCCCCACAGCCCCTGCCCCCTGGACAGCTTGACCTCTGCTGTGACTTGGAATCCAGGTCGATCTAGATGTGGAGCGCCTCCACTTTCCCACGTCCTGTGCGCACACACATCCAACCGCCTACACATACAGGCGCGCGTACACACTCTCCACCTTCCATCCCATTCACTCTCTGACCTAGACCTGTGACAGGCACACAATAGGGGCGCCTAAGTGGCGCGACGTGTGCAATGTGCTCGTGGCAGAATTGCCTGGGCCTGGCTGGGTGTCAGCTGCTGCACGGGGATGGTGGGTGGCCCTTGCTTCAGGCAGGATGAGAGGCAGGAGCTGACGGTCACTCCCAGCAGAAGTCAAGACCAGCTGCGGAGCACAGGGTGCAGACGGAACAGACCTCACCCACCATGTGGAGCAGCAGCGAGCCCGGCTCAGGTTAGCCAGCCTGGGTCAGGGATCCTCTGAAAGCTGGCACTGGGAGGAGCTCCAGGGGCTGAGTCTGAGCTCCTGTGCCGCAGGACTTCCTCACCCCACATTTCAGTCCCAATGCCCAGCCTGGTACCCCAGGGCTTCCTCACCCGTGTTCCAATCTGAGTGCCCACCCCGTGCCCCGGGGCTTCCTCACCTGTGTTCCAGTGCCAACAGGATGAAAACACACTTTGATTCTGAATCCACAACCTCTGTGCTGTAACTTTTGTCTCCTGTACATCCAGGGTTCCCACCTCATTTGACTCTTGAGGACCCTAACTTAACCACTCCCAGGCCTGGACACTGGATAGGAGGTGCTTTCCTTGTCCAAGGAGAAGGGGGGCAGAATATGGGAAACTTGATTCCCAGGTCTTCCTGGTGTTGTTGTTGTTAGGTGCCATCGAGTTGCTTGCGACTCATAGCGATCCTATGTACAAGAGGCCTAAGCCCTGTTCTATCTTGTGCCAACCTTATTGTCTCTGACACACCTACCTCCATTACCCCAATGATTGAATCAAACCATCTCAAGGGTCTTCCTCTCCTGCGCTGTCCCTCCACTCTCCCAAGCATGGTATCCCTCTCCAAGGAGCAGTCCCTCCTTGTAACATGTCCAAAGTAGGTCAGACAAAGCTTCAGAATCCTTGCCTCCAAGGAGCAGCCTGGTTTTACCCTCCCTAGGATGAACCTATGAACCTGGAGAAAGGATGAAAGTCACGCACAGAAGCGTCGAGGACTTTCGTTCATAGGGTCGCTATAAGTCACCTACGATTCAACGGCACTTAACAACAACAACAGGACGAACCTGTTTGTTCTCCAGCTGTCCATGGTATATTCAGTACTCTTCTCCAGCACCACAGCTCAAAGGTATCCATTCTCTATCATCCTTACTCACTGTCCAGCTTTCTGACGCATAGCAAACAATTGCAAAAACTATGGACTGTGTCAGGCTCACCTCAGTCTTCAGACTCACGTTATTGCTATTCAGTGCTCTGGAGAGTTCCCTGACAGCCCACTTGCCTAAGGCAATTTGTCTCTTCATTTCCTGGCTGCTGGTACCAAGAGTGTTGATTGTGGAGCCAAGCAAATAAATGAAAACTGTTAACAATCTCAATCTCTTCACCATCCATCCATAATGAAGCTGCCAATTGGCCCAGTGGCGAGAATCTTTGTTTTCTTGATGTTGAGCTTCAATGAGGAAGTGGTTATCAAGAAGCAAGGGGGGCAGGATCCCCACCAGGGAGGAAGGCCTAGGCAACAGGCAGGGGATGGGCGTCCTGAGAGTCGTACACACCCCTCCTGATCACCACTCACCATAAGATGTGGTCTTGGAAGACCAGGAGGTGGATAGAACAGAGCGTCATGAAGACAAGTGTGAGAGGTCAGGGAAGCGGTGAGAGGGAAGATGCAGGTCTCAGGGCAGAAGTCCTCAAGGGGGAAGGATGACCAGGCGCCCGTGGGGGTGGAAACTGAAGTGGTAGTTGCACCAGGCACCCGACTCCGCAGTGTGCTGATGAGCTAGCGGACACAGGCAGGGCCAGACTAAAGCACGGGAGGGTCCTACATACGGACACTCTGTGGTGCCCCCTCCTCTGTTTACTCACATTGTTGCTAGGCGCCATCAAGTCACCTATGACTCAGAGCAGCCCTATGAACAGCAGATATGAACTTTGCTTGCCCCGTCTTGTGCCATTCAATATCCTCGAGCCCATTGCCTTCTGTCTTGTTGAGGGTCTCCCTCTCTTGCGTTGACCCTCCACCTTTCCAAACAGGCTTTTTCCAAGGACTCCCCGCCACCCAACACCATTCTCAAAGGATCTGAGATGAAATTGCCCTGTCCTTGCCTCTAAGGAGCACCCTGGTTGCACTTTCTCCAACACAGATTTATTCTTTCGGCAGTCCGTGGACTAGTCAGTATTCTTCTCCAATACCACAACCCAAAGGCATTGATTCTGCCATCTTTATTCATTGTCAGACTTCCAGTTGCATCAGCTGTAATTGCAAAGACTGTGGCTTGGATCAGGTGCACCTTAGTTTTGAAACAGCATCGTTGCTTCTGAGCACCTTCGAGAGGCCCTTGATGGTAAATTTTCCCATTGCAACATGTCCTTTATTTTTCCTCCTTTTCTCTTTTCCCTTTACCTTTTTTCCCTCTTGACTGCTGGTGCAAAAGGTATTATTGATTGTAGATCCAAACAAGAGGAAATCATTGGCAATTTTAATCTTTTCTCTACTCACAGATTAGAATGGGATGTGTTAATGTTTTATATTGTAACATCTTTTTAAATTCAATTACATTGTTTCAGTCAATAATATATAACAATATTAATTGTACTATTAGCAATAGAATGAGATGGACTAGAGTAATAACATTTTTAGCTTCTGTTTTTGACAGCTGGTATTCTGTTGCTGCCCTGAGCATATGCTTACTTTGCTTATGGGCTAATCTATCTCTGGACAGGGAGTAGGCTGTTATTGATCAGTGAGCCTATTCTGAAGTCTCTTGAAACCCTTGCCCAGGTGCCGTTGTCAAGATAGGGAAGTAGAGGGGAGCCCTGGTGGCCTACTGACAAGAAGCTGTGCTGAAATCCCAAAGACACACGGTTCGAATCCACCAGATGCTCTGCAGAGGAGGGGCAATCTCCTCCTGTGCCAGTTGGATCTGATTCAACAGTACATCCCCGGCCCCCTTCCAAAAAAATACAGGGAAGTAGAGTTGGACAGTGATTTAAGGAGGATAGAAGGAGAATTGATGCCTTTGAGCTGTGGGACTGAAGAAGAGTATTGAGGGTACCGTGGACTGCTAGGAAAATAAACAGATTCGTCCTGGAAAGGGTCAATCCAGGAAGCTCCTTGGAGGCAGGGATTCTGAGGCTCCATCTAACATACTTTGGACATGTTGTGAGGAGAGACCGGTCCTTGGAGAGGGACATGATGCTTGGTAGGGTGGAGGGACAGCGCAGGAGGGGAAGGCCCTCTATGAGGTGGATTGATTCAGTGACTGGGATAATTGGGATGGGAGTGTCAGAGACAGTGTGATTGGCACAGGACAGAGCAGAGTTCAGGGCTGTTGTACATAGGGTCGCTATGAGTCGCAAGCGACTCGCCGGCACATAACAACAATAACAACAACAGTAAGGAACATGTCTCCAGACTCAGACCCCGGCGGAATAGTGGTCCCTGGTTCACAAGTGTCTCTGCCTCTATAGACAGACCAGCTGGAACAGCGTCTTATCTCTCCAGACAGACTTGCTAGGATCCAGGCAGGGTCTGCAAGTGCTAAGATGACCACAGTCAGAGCGCATCTGGGCTGGGGCTGCCTAGTGGCAAGAAGCTACGCTGTAATTCTGAAGACACGTGGTTCAAATCCACCAGATCTTCTGGAGAAGGAGGGATAATCTCCTCCTGTGCCAGTCGAATCTGACTCGATGGTATACAACAAGGAAAAAAAAAGACCCAAGCATTTGAACCTGAGGACATTTCCCTGTTTCTTTCTCGGTCGAGACTTTCTGGCCCATCTGCTTCCACAGACTTCCTCATATACCAGCTGGATCCCTGCACTGCCTCTCTCCACTGATGGGAAAGCAGACAGAGTAACATGCTGACGGGCTGTACAACTTCACCAAGTCCTGAGAAAGGAGGCAGAGCCCATAGGAGGCCCTGGCTGAAGAGGAAGGAGGCAGCTTGCATGCTGTGAGGGAGGGACAGGAGCATCCACAGTTGCCCCCACCATCTGCCACAACACCTTGGTCTTGACCCATTGCACCTCATTGCCCACTCACCCTTGTGAGTCCCAGAGAGGGTTATTCACTATATGAGATCACAAGGTGTCATGAAAAGAACCTTTCTCTGTGGTCTCTCAGAGGAGGTGGGCTGGCAGCCAGCCCCCTGGGGTGTTGTCCACTATGAATGTCTGGACTCCTTGCTGGGATGAGAACAGCCCAGACACCTGCGTCACTGGATGTGTTCCCGAGAGTCAAAGGACTGCTGTTGTTATGTGTTGTCGGGTGGGAACTGCCTTATAGCTGACCCTCAGGGTTTCAGAGGCAGGAAGTCACAGGAGGGGAGACTTCCTGTCCTCCTGGAGAGTGGTTGGTGGATTCAAACCACGTGGCTTTGAATTAGCAGCACACCTCCTCCTTACACTGGCCAGCCAACAGAGCTCCCTGGCGGGACTGCAGAAGGGTTTATTCTCTAAGAAGCGGTTTAGGCCTCGTAGGAGGAGAACCGAAGAAAGGAAAGTTTTGTGGAAAAGGCTTAGGACTGGTGGGGTGCACTGCCACCACTGTTCTCTGTCTCAGACACTGAACAGAGGTCTGTGGGGGCCAGCATCTTCCCCAGACCTGAGACTGTCACACACACTGCCATCAGGGGCCTCACCATAAACTCTCCTTACACAAAATGTTTTCCCTTCATCAGCTCATCATGGTTATTCTCTGACTACTGTGTTGCTTCACACATAAAAATATAACAAGAGGACAAGAGACAAGTATCCTTGTCATCAGAGCAGCCCTGTGATTACAACTGTTTTAAGAAATGTGAAAGGGAGTCCTTTGAACAGAGAGCTAGCAATGGTAAACAGCGAAGATTAGGACACATGGCGATGTCAGCCAGAAATCAATGCAGATCTCAAAACCTCAGAAGGGAAAACCTTAAAGGCTGAAAATAGGAAAGTAGAAACACCAGCCCGTAAGTAATGTCAACTATAAAGCAAATGGAGGGAAACAAGATGTAGTGACAGAACTTCCAAATGAGACAATAACACAACTGAATGAACTGTTTTTACACTTGTTTGTCATTGTTTTGTGGTTGAGTCAGAACCAACCCATAGATGACCGTCTAGTGGGTTTTCAGAGGCAGCAAACAGGAGAAAATTGCTCATTTTTCTCCCACAGAGCAGGTGGTGGATTCGAACAGTGTGCCTTTGGAATTGTAGCGAAGCTTCTTACCACTAGGCCACCAGAGCAACACTTGAGGACATGAAAATCAATTACAATCTAACTTCAAAGAACATGAATAAATCTTCTAACTAAAATAAAAAGAAAAATGATACTTAGTAAACACAAAAGCAAAAACAACAAAGAAAATCTTGTTAACAAAATGAACTCACCATAGAAAAAGATAAGAAATCATCACCACCACAGAACACATAAAAGAAATGACAACAGTCAATTTATACTTATTTTTATTTGCACTGAATATAAATGTATTACATTCATCTGTCAAGAGAAAGTGTCAGAATGGATAAGAAAAGAAGATCAAAGCCTGCATGAGACTCATCTTAGACACAAGGAGGAAGTATGTAAAAAATCAAAGGGCTTTTTATTGGCCAAGGTGCAACTAATGGTCTAAATAATGAAGAATGAAGAAAATCAAAGATACTTAGAAACAATCTGTCCAAATACTGCGTAACACCACTGTTGTAAAGCAGGACTGACATGGGAGGTTGAGAGACCAGGAAAAGAGGGGAGAGATAATGAACACTGCATTGGAATAGATAAAAGAGCTGTTTAAAAGGAATTATATGTATGACAAGAGTCCCGAATAAGAGGTGCATTGAAAAGTGGACTAGGGGAGGGAAAGGGAGAAAATCATGCAACAATGAATGAATATTTTTCTTAAAAAAAGTAAACTGGTGGAGGAGGAAGAGAGAGGAAAATGTGCACAGTGAATAAACGAAAATCCATCTTTAAAGTCACAATTAATATAAAAATTCATTGGGAAAAAAGAAGAAATGATTTGTCCAAAAGATTAATGGAGACATAACCTCACCAGGAAAACCTGATGTGCCTGGTCCCACTGCTGGTGACTTGAAAAGGAATTACAGTAAAGGGGCCTGGTCAAAGGGGGAGAAGAGTGAGGAACCAAACTCCAAACTAGAAAAATGGCCTGGTTTGCTGATCTGAGAGAAACTGGTGGAATCCCTGTGAGTCTGGGACTAAATTCACCTTTGTGGTTCAACTTTTAGCTAAACAGCACCCAGGTTTGTGATGTAAACAATAACAAGAGGATGTACTCATTCCTAAGAACCGTCAACTGTAAGTTTAAAAGGGCAGCGTTTGCCCAGAGGTAAAGATCAGAACGTAGGAAAGGATAGGAGGGTGAGAGGAAACAGGAATCACAAGGAGGACGCAGGAAGAGTGCTGCCACCATGTAGTGACTGTAAAATTAGTGTCTTGAACAAAACGTGAATAGCATCTAACAACAATCATCAATCCAAATTCTAGATCTATGCCAAAAGAGTTAAAAATATTCAAATACATACTTGTACACCAATGTTCACATTCAGAACAGCTACAAAGAGCCAAATAGTGCAGGATTTTCACTTATGTGAAGTTTCTGGAACAAGCACATTCATAGGAACAGAAAGTAGTTTAGTTTCCAGGGCTAGGGGAGGGGAAAATGAATTATTGTCCAATGGGTATAAAGTATGTGCTTGGGATGATGAAAAAGTTCTGGAAATAGGTACTACACAGTATAGGTACTATACTGATGCCTCTGAATTTAAATATGTATTTCCATCTTTTACACAAGGAAAAAGTGAGATGAAATGATTGGTGAGTCATGGAGAAGAGTTTGGGAGCAGGGCCTGGGGCCGGGGTTTCTGGGAACTGACAAGGGA